CATATTTTTTCCATCCTCTTAGTTTTAACCTATATGTGTCTTCATATTCAAAGTAAATATACACCACATATAGTTGAGTGTTGCTTTTTTATTTAGTCTGACATTCTCTGAGTTTTAATTGGGGCATTTAGGCCATTTATATTTAATATGATTATTGATATGGCTATGTTTAAATCTTTCGTCTTGCTTTTTTTTTTTTTCCCCTTCTTGTCAGATCTGATCTTTGTTCCCTCTTTTATTTTTTTCTTCCTTCTTTTGGATTAATTGATTATTTGTTATGATTTCATTTTATATACTTTCTGGTTTATTCCTCTTTGTATTTTTTAGCAATTGTTTTAGGGTTTACACTGTAAATCTTTAACTTATCATAGTCTTCCTTTAAGTAACATTATAACTCTTCATGTATGGTATATGGACCTTAGAACAGCATACTTTCATTTCCCCTCTCTGAGCCTTTGTGCTGTCATGTTATACATTTTACATCTATATATATTATAAATTTCTCAATATGTATTTTTTTTATTTTTGCTTTAAACAGTCCATTATCTTTTAAAGAAATTTGCCCACATATTTACCATTTGTAGGGCTCTTCAGTCTGTTTTATAGGTCAAGATTTCTATCTGGTATTATTTTCTTTACCTGAAGCACTTCCTTTAACTTTTCTTGTACTACTGATCTGATGCTGATGAATTCTTTCAGTTGTTGTATGTCTGAAAAGTCTTTATTTCATCTTTGTTTTTCAAAGCTATTTTTAAACAGTACAGAATTCTACATTGACATTGTTGTTCTTTCACCTCCTTAAAATATGTTGCCGCACTGTCTTCTGGCTTGCCTTGTTTCCAACAAGAAGTCTCCTGTCAATCTTATCTTTCTACTTCTGTACATTTTTTTCTCTAGAAGCTTTTCAGATTTTCTCTTAATCACTGTTTTTAAGCAATTTGATTATGATGGACTTTAGTGTAGTTTTCTTTGTCTCCTGTGCTTATTGTTCATTGAGATCTTGGGATCTCTGGGTTTATACTTTTTATTGAATTTTAAAACTTTGAGCCATTGTTTTTTCAAATATTGTTTTGGCCCTATTCTCTTTTCCTCTTCTTCTAGAACCCCAATTACACATATGTTTGGCCATTTGAAATTGCTCCACAGCTCACTGATCTGTCTTTTTTTCCTCTCCATTTTTTTTCTCTGTATTTCATTTTGGATAGTTTTATTACTATGTCTTCAAGTTCACTGATTTTTTTTGTCTGTCATGTCTAATATGTTCTCAATCTCTTCTAGTGTATTTTTCTTCTCAGATATTGTACTTTTCATCTCTACAGGTTTGTTTGAGGTCTTTTTTTTTTTATATCTCCTATGTCTCTCCTTAGCATTCTAGTGCTTTTTATCTTTTTGGCCACATGAAATATACTTATAATAGCTATTTCAGTGTACTTGTCTTTTTTATTTTTTTTGTCTTTTTCGTGACCAGTAAGGGGATTGCAACCCTTGGCTTGGTGTCCCCCGCACCGCGCTCAGCCAGTAAGCGCACCAGCCAGTCCTACATAGGATCCGAACCCGTGGCGGAAGCGCCGCTGCGCTCCCAGTGCTGCACTCTCCCGAGTGCGCCACAGGGCCGGCCCTCAATGTACTTGTCTACAAATTTTGTCTTCTGTATCATTTCTGGATCTGTTTCTATTGATTGACTTTTATCCTCATTACGAATTATATTTTTTTTTACTTTTTCCGTGTCTGGTAATTTTTTACTGGATCACAGACATTTTGATGTTTGGATTGTTGGGTGCTGGATTTTTTTTGGGGGGGGGGTATGCCTTTAAATATTTTTGAGGACTTGGTTGAAGTTAAATTTGGGAACAGTTTGATCCTTTCTAGACTTCCTTTTTAAGCTTTGTTAGAGAGACTAGAGAAGGCTTTAGTCTAGGGTTGATTTGACACCGTTAGTAAGGCAGTACCTTTCTGAATATTTAAACTGATGTATTACAAAGCTTCTTGAACTGTCAGCCCTGTGTGTGCTACAAGAATTGTTCTGCCTGCTCCCTTATGGTGGTTCTTTTCCCAGCTTTGGGTTGTTTTCTCACACACATGCTCTGATCAGTACACAGATGAAGATTTGAGTAGATCTGTGAGTGTCTGGGTGTGTAGTTCCTTCCTCTCTGGTGCTCTGCCTGTAAATTCTAGCCTCCTGGGCCTCCTCAAATGTTTAACTGTGTCTCCTCAACTTAGGGAGATTGCCAGGATCTGTTTGGGTTCCTCCTCCTTCCTGTGCTGCATCCTGGAACCTTCCCTAGGCTTTAAGCCAGAGTGATTGCAGGATTCCCTTTTCTTAAGGATCACTGTTCTGTGTTGCCTGTTGTCCAGTGCCTGAAAAACATTTTTTCATGTGTTTTTCAGTTGTTTAAGGTGGGAGGTTCAATCCAGTCTGTGTTATCCCATTACTTGAAGCAGAAGACTAACTTCTGTATTGTTTTGTTACTAGAGTAAATCCTTCATTGTTCACATAATGAATAAAAAGGATAATGCCTTTTTCACAGAGATTAAATTAGACAATATACACAAAAAGCATTTTATAGATGGTAAAGTGTAAAGTGTTACACAGATGTTTGTATTGCTTACCTAGGAGATAACACATTTTCCTGTTGTTGTAAGTGTTCTTTACAGCAGTAAGGCCTGAAAGGCCAAAAGATGAAGGTGTTGTTTCTGAAAAACTGCCTAGGCCTGCATGCATAGCAGTATGTCATATTACATACTTTTCTGTGCTGTATTAATTTACACATTTGTTTATTCAACAGACATTGATTAGACACCCATATGTCAGGCACTGTTGTAAACACTGGAGATCTCTGCCTTCTAGGAGCTTGTATTCTAGTGGTATATTTTCTTCTCAGTGTGTCTCAGCCATCCACTTTTTTTTTTTGTCTCTGTCTGGACACATGACTCATTCTGTTTCTGGGTCTCTGTAAGAGTGCTCCTTTAATTCTGCCTTCACCTCATCTATTTTCTTAACCTAGTTAACTGACTTCCCATGTGAGCTTGTTCTTTGTTTTATTCAGTCCAGTTGTCATAATATCTTTCTTCCCTTTAGTAATCTTTATTTTTTTCTTTATGAATAAAAGCCAGAATAAAAGAAAAGTCCTTACAAAAACTTATAAGGCTTTAAAAGTTGTGGGCCTGCTCACCTCTTTGAACTCTTCACTTACTACTGCTCATTTCACTCCAGCCGCATTGACCTTCTTGCATTGTTGTCTCTTCAAAACACCAGCATGTTCCTACCTCAGGGTCTTTGCACTTGCTGTTCCTTCTGTCTCTGAATGCTTTTCTTCCACATAGTCACATGTTCACCATCACTTCCTTCAAGTCTTTGCTCAGTTGCCATATTTTCACTGTGGTTCTTCCTGACCTCTCCTGTCCCCCACTCCCACCATCTTTTTCTTGATGACAATTATTACCTTCTAAATTACACAAGGGTACTTCAGAAAGTTCATGGAAAAATAGAATTAAAAGATAATATGAATCTTTCCATGATCATTTTGGAAATATTCGTTGAATGAATGAGTCTCCTTGGTAAAGTGCTTTTTTGTTTGTCTTATTATATTTACTGAATACACTTCTTTGTTTTATGTACTTTATATAAAAAATGAATGGCTTGAGCATTTTATATATTTTCTTAAAAATCCCTTCAGTTGCTTTCTTTAGCTTATTAACATATTTTGTTCTATAGATTTGTAACCTTCATAAGATAAAAGACTCTCCATCACTGATTACATGTGTACCCTCAGCCTGAGTACATATAGAACTAGATCACAATTCTAGAGGTAATAAATAATTCCAACCTTATAGATAACCCAGGAAAAGGTGGGATTCCAGGTAGACTTTAAATCCCATCTAGAAACCCAAGGATGATCTAAAAGGAAAAACAAAAAGTCCTTTCAAATAGAATATTCCTTTTTTTTTTTTTTTTTTTTTTTTTTTTTATCTTTTTCCATGTCCGGCAACGGATCGCAACCCTCAGTGTAGCCCCTGCACCGGACCGGGGACCGGCAACGGGATTGCAACCCTCGGTGCTGCTCCCGTGCCTCGCTCAGTCAGCATATCCCTTTTTTTTTTTTTTTGTCTTTTTGTCTTTTTCCGTGTCCGGCAACGGATCGCAACCCTCAGTGAAGCCCCTGCACCGGACCGGGGACCGGCAACGGGATTGCAACCCTCGGTGCTGCTCCCGTGCCTCGCTCAGCCAGTGAGCGGGAACCGGTCTGTATGTGGGATTCGAACCCTCGGGCGGGAGTGCCGCCATGCTTCCCAAGCGGCGCACTATCCAGTGCGCCACCGGGCCGGCCCATTCCTTTTATTCTTAAAAAAAAAAAAAAAAGTTAGTACTATATTTGGAATTTTAAGTTATTTTTATACAACTCCCATAGAATATACTTTAAAATGAGTCTAGGTAAAACTTACTTATTTATTTATTTATTTTTATATGCGTGTGTATATATATATATACACCCACACATACTCCCACTCTCTTAATCACAATTTGGAAGTCTAATAAACTCTGAAAACCAATAAGCTCTACCAAACCAAATGCTACTCATTTGGTAGCAAAACCCAATCTGACCTGATGTGCAGCTATTTATAGTCTTCATCTTTCTATTTGGTGAGTCTAGTTATATGTTTAACTGAAGATATATTAATGTGTTTGATTACAATGTGCACACCAGACCTTCTGAGACTATTATGTAATATGCAATATATGCCATATATTATCTTTCTAATATTAAAAAATAAAAATAAATTTAAAAAAAACTGAATTCTGAAATGTTTCTAGCCCCAAGGGATTTGTGTTTTGTTTTGTTTTGTTTAGCAGCTGGTGGGTATAGGGCCCTGAGGGATTTGGATAAGACATTGAGGGCCTGAGTATTTTTTTAAAATCTACTTTACTAAAGTGAAGCCAGAGTCACTGACTGCCTAACTTTTGGTGGTGATTGTTGCTGCTGTTACTGCTTTTTCTCCAGCTTTGCAAACCTGGGTATTCTTCATGTGACAAAGAAAAAAGTATTTGAAACACTGGAAGCACGGATGACAGAGGCATGTATAAGGGGCTATAATCCTGGACTTCTGGTGCATCCTGATCTTGCCTATTTGCAAGCAGAAGGGGGAGGAGACAGGCAGCTCACAGGTGAGCCTCATTCTCCCAGCCTTGCTCCTCTGAGGAGCTTGGCTTTCATTTTCTTGTGTGTGGACTGTATGTTCACCTGTGTGCCTCAGATTTCTTCTTTTCCCAGTCTATACCCCATACCGCTCACACTCTTTTCCTGCTCAGAAACCTTTGATGGCATCCAGCTACCTCTGGAACAAAATCCATACTTCCTTAGCCTGGTATGCCAAGCCCTCCCAGGGAATCTCCAGCCCCACCCTGTCCCCGTCACTGCTCTCTGAACACCTGATGCCTATTCACACCTTCGCATGGGTCTTCCTGTACCTAAAACAACCCCCTTCCCTTTTCAACCTGTCAAAACCAATGCGTAGTTCAAGACACAGTCCATGAACACCTCCTCTGTTACACCTTATTATAAGGAATCTTTCTTTGGGCTCTTCAGGCACATTATAAACAATTGTTTTTACCATAAAAATGCTATGATTTTCTGTTTTCCTGCCATTACTCAAATTTTTTCTTTCAACCCCACTCCCTGTCCCACCACGTGCCCCATTTCTGCTTTTCCATTTTGTCCTCTCTTCTGTCCATCTTGTCACCATCTCATACTGAGGTGATCCAGAACCGATGATCATGTTTCCACTGAACATATTCCGTCTTCTGATACCCAGACTCAAAACCTTCATGTTACCTTTGACCCTCCTTCTCCACCTGTGCTGCATCTCCAGTCTGTGGTCCAGCTACTCTGTGCTCTCTGTGACAGTCCACTCCTAACTCCATTTCACTGCTCCAATTATAGCAGTTTTCTCCCTGGTCTCTGTCCCTTACCATTTCTAATCCAGTGTACACCCTATAGCCAGGTAGATCTTACAAAAGCCTGCATCTCGCCACTACTTGGTTTCTCCCACTTGCCTACAAAATACATATTCCATAAGCCCAAGAGCTGGTCCGAGTCTGTATTTCCAACTCTGTTTGCCACTATGCCCCTTCATGTTAGACTGAACTACTCCATAGGAGCACCATGATTTCTAACTTCCCTGCCTTGGCACATTCTTTCCATTCTTTCTGTCCCCTCTTCTTGGAATGCCCTTATCCACTGTTCATATGTTCAGATTTTATCATCCCTTCAAGATTTAGAGCAAATGCCTCTTCTGCTGTAAAGTCTATGGATCTCCTCTCCTTTAAATCCCTGTAGCTCTACTGTAGTACTTATCACTTGAATTATTACCTTTTGTGATATTATAAGTTAAGTATGACTGTATCCCTCAGCATGAAAACTCCATTAAGAAGGAAGGAGCCTGATGTAATCTAGTCATTCAGTTCCTTCAAAAGTACTTTTTGAAACTCCTAGAGCTGGTTAATAACTTCAGTAACTTTGTAGGATACAAAATAAATGCCCCCAAATCAGTAGCATTTATATACACAAATAATGAATTAACAAAATGAGAAATAAAGAAAGTAAGCCCATTTACAATTGCCACCAAAAAAATACAATACCTAGGGATCGGTTTAACCAAGGAGGTGAAAGACCTCTACGATGAGAATTACAAACCACTTCTGAAAGAAATTAAAGAAGACACAAAAAGATGGAAAGATATTCCATGCCCTTGGATTGGAAGAATTAACATTGTGAAAATGTCTATACTTCCCAAAGTGATCTACAGATTCAATGCAATCCCCATCAAAATACCAATGACATTCTTCACAGAAATGGAAAAAACAATCTTATCTTTCATATGGAAAAACAAAAGACCCCGAGTAGCCAAAGCAATCCTGAGCAAAAAAAACAAAGCTGGAGGCATAACTTTGCCAGACTTCAAATTATACTACAAAGCTATTGTAACTAAAACAGCATGGTACTGATATAAAAATAGACATTCAGACCAATGGAGTAGAATTGAGAACCCAGAAATCACTCCTCAGGCTTATAGCCATCTGATATTAGATAAATGCAACAAAAATCTACATTGGGGAAAAGATTACCTCTTCAACAAGTGGTGCTGGGAAAACTGGATATCCATATGTGGAAGAATGACATTAGATATGCATCTTTCACCATATACTAAAATCAACTCAAAATGGATTAAAGACCTAGGTATAAGACCCAAAACTGTAAAATTACTAAGGGAAAATATAGGCGAAACACTTCAGCAGTTAGGTCTGGGTGCAGGCTTTATGAACATGAGCCCAAAAGCACAAGCAGCAAAAGAAAAAACAAACATATGGGACTATATCAAACTAAAAAGTTTCTGCACAGCAAATGAAACAATCAACAGAGTGAAAAGACAACCTACAGAGTGGGAGAAAATTTTTGCCAACTATGCATCCAACAAGGGACTAATATCCAGAATATACATAGAACTCAAGCAATTATACAGTAAAAAAATAAATGACCCAATTGAAAAATGGGCAAAGGAGCTGAATAGACATTTTTCAAAGGAAGACATACAAATGACCAACAAATACATGAAAAAATGCTCAACATCACTAGTCATCAGCGAAATGCAAATTAAAACCACAGTGAAATAGCACCTCACCCCAGTTAGACTGGCTATAATCAAAAAGACGGTGAATAACAAATGCTGGCGAGAGTGTGGAGAGAAGGGAACACTACTGCACTGTTGGTGGGACTGTAGATTAGTACAACCACTTTGGAAAACAATTTGGAGGTTTCTCAAACAACCACAGACAGATCTTCCATATGATCCAGCAATCTCTCTTCTGGGTATATATCAAGAGGAATGGAAATCATCATATCAAAGGGATACCTGCACTCCCATGTTTATTGCAGCTCTGTTTACAATAGCCAAGATATGGAACCAACCTAAATGTCCATCAATAGATGATTGGATAAGGAAAGTGTGGTATATATACACTATGGAATACTACCCTGCCATAAAAAAGAATGAAATATTCCTATTTGCAACAACATGGATGAACCTGGAGAAACTTATGTTGAGTGAAACAAGCAAAGCACAGAGGGATAAATACCACATGTGCTCACTCATATGTGGGAGCTAAGAGAGAAAGGAACACAGAAAAGAAAGACCACAGTAGTGCTGTGATCCAACAGAGGGAGGGAACATTCCTAGGGCTACAAATTGGTGTTGATGGGAGAGGGGGAACAGGAGAGAGGTTGGAAGATAATTGAGAGGGGACAAAGGGTGCAAAAATAATTTCTGGTAATGGATATGCCCCCAGTATGAATCTGGCCCCCACATCATGGGCAGGAGCGGGGGACAATCAGCTTTGTATCTCATGAATATTCATAATAAATAAATTAATTAATTATAAAATAAAATAAATATAGCCATGTATTAATGGGAAAAAAAAAGTTGTTTTGAAGAAATAGATCTTTCATAAGTATAAATAGGAATTTGGAGTGATAGCTTTTCTCCATACTACAATATTTATTATATTGTTTTGTTCAATACTCTAAGGTATTTAAAGCTAGCAAGTTAAACAAAAATTTTCAGTTAACAGACTTCTTTCAATGGTACAAAAGTGCATTTGGTTAACTTTTGGACTTAATTAATTTAGCAGGCTTTGGATTCCACCATTTCATAGAAAAGAACTTTCTTGGTTCCAGGACAACATCCTCATGAAGGATAGTGGGCATGAAATAATTAATTTGAGCAAAATTCAATAAAAAATTCCACTAATTCAAAACAAACAAAAAAGTACTTTTTGAGCACCTACTATGTGCCGAGCAGTGTGCTTGGCACTGTAGAATGAGCACAGTCACTGTGCTTAAAGAACATTTGGAATAGTTAATTTTCACATTTCTCAATATAGCTGGTGCACAGTAGCCTTCTTACATTCCATTCCATCACATCCTTTGTTCCTTTAGCTCTTATTATAGGGAGAAAAAGGAGAGGTGGGAGGAGGACAGAAGAGAAGAGAGAGAGTCTGATACATGGAGGACAGTTTTTGTGATAATTCAGAGAAAATGCAGGTGTTCTTTTGATGCCTTTAATTTTAGGTGACATAATGAAACTATTTTTTAAAATTTTACTAGAAATATGAAGTATTTTAAAGCAGAAAAGTGTGGGTTTTTACTTTAAGTTTACATTCTTTATTTGGTCTTTATAAAAGCATGCTATTTTAAATGTCCATACTTTCCCTTTTCCCTGGGCATGAATGGACTGTGCTGTATGGTCCTAGATCGGGAAAAGGAGCTGATCCGCCAGGCAGCTCTTCAGCAGACAAAGGAGATGGACCTCAGCGTGGTGCGGCTCATGTTTACAGCTTTTCTTCCGGATAGCACTGGCAGCTTCACAAGGCGCCTGGAACCCGTGGTATCAGACGCCATCTACGACAGCAGTGAGTACCTGACTACTTACAGGAGGCAGCCTGGTATAGCATCAAGCAAGACTTCCAACCCTGCCCTGCCTTTTACTTACTAACTGAGTCCTGGGGAAAGTAACTTAATCATGTTAGCCTCAGGTTCATCATCTACAAAATGGGAATACTAAAATCTGGCTTAAAAGGTCAATGTCTAGATTAAATGAGATATTTTAAGAGGTGTTCAATAAATGTTGTTCTCTTTCCTCAGATGTGCATTTTAGTCTTTTACATGCAATAGCAAATCTCTTATTACTTATAAATACCTTGCTATAAGGATATATTGTTGGAGCTCTTAGAAGGGAAATATACTTCAATTTTTTCTTTGGGGCTCTGAAGAGAAGTTAATAAAAGACAACCATTGCTCTTATCCATCTTCATTCCCAAATATTACAGACTAGCTTTACCAAGAAAGCAACTTCAAGTTAACTGAATGAGTAATATAGATACTATGTGAATTCAAAATTCTATTTCAGTTCATAGTTCCTAGAACATTTAAAGAGTTTTACAGTGATCTTCAGTGTTACCATGCAATTTTCTTGTTCACTGTGCATGGGATTTATTAAACAGATATTTCTAAAAAGCCTGCAAGTGCAGTACTTAAGTTCATTGAAAGTTTATTGAATCTGGTATAAGGAGAAGACGCTATGCTCCAAGTATGACAACTAACTGATTTCTCTAATTTAAACAAGTAAGGGAAGTGAAAGGGTTATAAAATGATACAGACTTGTATACCACAGATCACCTTAAAATGCAGCTGTTGGAGGGGGGAAAAAAGAAGCTTTATACTATTACCACATGAAACTTTTTCCCCTAACCACACAGAATCCTAATTTAGTTTGGGGGTAAGAAATATAACATCTCCTATTTTCTTAGAATAAAAATTAAGTAGTTTAAGAAAATCGTCCTTTTCCTAAATTTTTTAGGACTCTTGTAAATGGTCTAGCAGTTTGTGGAAACAAGTTTGCGGTTAAAGTCTTGAAATTCCAGAAATCCATTGGCTTGGTACTTTCTGAAACATCAGAAAAGCTATTTCTCTTTCTGTATCGGTCTTTATGTGTTAGTGGGAGAAACAACTACCTGTTCCTTTCTACTTCATCTGTTTTGGTAATATTATGACCCATGCCCAAGAAGTGCTCTGAAGACTTCGGAAACCATTCTTGTTTTATTTATATCTTTATTAAAGCAGTATGAGTGAAAGCATCTATTTAAACTTTGTTTTGGTGAGGTGTGCTAAGGGCTGGGTTTCTCATAAGGGGATTGGCTGTGAAACTGAGGGTAAACCACAATGTTTGTTGTTTTTCCCTTGTGAACAGAAGCCCCCAATGCATCCAACTTGAAAATTGTGAGAATGGACAGGACAGCTGGATGCGTGACTGGAGGGGAAGAAATTTATCTTCTCTGTGACAAAGTTCAGAAAGGTAAATATATGCTCTGGTCTCATGATGTGAAATATAATTCTGAGTGTGTCTATGAGTCAGTTTTTAGTAGCAGGTCACAAATGTTCTTCCTTTGACATAGAACTCCTTACAAACGTATTTCACCTCTTGCAAATGTAAGTTGTCTGTGTTATTTTTTTAAACCCAAATAATGTATTTATTTATTTATTATGATTATTATTTTTGCATTCTAAGATACAGTTGAGGGAACAGTGAGAGCGGAAGGGGAAAGGGGTATAGGATAGGAAGAGGAGGAAGGAGTGGGGGCAAGGTCAAGGCCCATGGCACCCCTCTCATTCCAACAGGGGATACCATGGGGCTTCCAGCAGCAGCTCGGTCATTGCTGGGTTGGATGCAGAAGTTGGGGGGCGGGGTGGGGCTGAGGCCCTCGGCCCCCCATCTCCCTGGTTTTGGAAGCCCAAGGCACTTTTGGCGGTGGCTTGATGGTTGTTGCTGGACTGGTTGCAGACATCAGGGGGGCATGGCTGAGGCAGTTGGTCCCCCACAGCCCCAGCTCAGGAGCCTGAGGCATTTCCTGTAGCAGCTCAATGGTCATTTCTAGGCTGGTTGCAGATGGTAGGGGGTGTGGCTGAGGCCCTCGGCCCCCAATCACCCCAGCTCGGGGTGTTTCTGGCAGCAGCTTGGCGGTCATTGCTGGGCTGGATGTTGTCATCGGGGGGTGTGGCTGAGGCCCATGGCCCTCACACCACCCCAGCTTGGGAGCCCAGGGGGCTTCTGGTCCTCCTAGGTTTTATAGGTGTTCTTTGGTAGTGTTAGACCTTTACTGGTTAATATCAAAACTTTTTCTCTGATCTGTGGGTATTTTGTTTTATTTCTTTCAGTTCTGTGTTGGATTATCCACTGTTCCCACCACTTAAATTCTGCACTAGAGCTAATTTCTTGTCCTTTGGTTACTTCTAAAATGGAGGAACTTCCTAAGGGAACCAGCACTTGAGCCCTGTGGTTGAGTTGAATTGCTGCTTTGCTGTTGATTCTCTAGGGAAGGCTTTATGTGCAGCTCAGGTTTTATTTTTGACCTTGTAATCACTTCCAGGACTTGTGAGGCCTGGAACACCTGGGTTGTGTGGAAACTCTGGTCTGGGCCCAAGTCTTTTCAGCAGGCTATACCCCCTGCAGTTCGATATTACTGACCAGTCTCCACTGAATGGGTCTGTGCAGATTGGAGGGTAGACCAACTGTCCATGCTGTACCCCAGTGATCCCTGGTGGGCCCGTCTCCCCCATCTGCCACACTCCAAACACTTCCCATGGAATGAGCCATGTGCTGGTCCCTTGCAGTGACTCACTGGCGTCTGAGTGGCTCCTTTTTTCAGTTATCTGTGGCCCATCGCTCCTATGTGGGTTCACGGGAACCCTCTTAGTAGTCTTGCTGGCCTGGGAGCCACTAAGGCCCTCTTCTCCCCTGCAGCCTCCAAGCAACTTCATACAAAGGACACAGCTGTGGCTTTTGCCAGCTTTTGCTCCACATGCTCACCAGGGCTGGCCTTGGAGCGGCCAGGGCTTCAAACGGCTGGAGAAGTCCTTTCTTTCTCTCACTGTGGCTTCTTCTGCCTTCATGAACCCCATAGGTCTCTCCTTCTCTTCCCCTGAGCTCTAGCGTCCCTAGCTTGGTTGTTGTTGCTTTTTAATATTGTAAATTGGTTGATTGTGGGAGAGAGTGATGCTGGAGACCATCTATTCTGCCATCTTGAGCAGAAGTCCCCAACTAATTTATTTTTAAATTCCACACAGAAGTAAAGAGAAATAAGAAAAAAGTGATGATTGTAATCAGTGATTTTCAGTATCTTTATACTTTAAACTTTGGTATCTGTACTCAGTTAAGCTAAAATAAATGAGTAATAGCCATGCTTGACACACATGCAAACACACACACAGAATAAGTAATAACTTTTGCATAGTGTAAAATTGTTGGTTCTGTTTATTTTGTAATGCTTTTTTGTAACCCTGAGAGATCTTCTCCAAACACTTCCATGTGACATGATGTCAACTATGAAATGGAAAGAGAATAAGGAATACCAGGAAATTCTCAGAGCACATTTCTCTCACAGTTGTCACTTTCAGAAAAGGTTCTTGGCATTTATCTCTCACTAGATATATTACAAGATTGATAAATTAGTAAAAGCTGAAGGAGATTATGTGTTATTTTCTCAAACTTCACTCATTTTTTAAATAAAACAATGGAGGGCCGGCCCCATGGCGTACTCAGGAGAGTGCAGCGCTGGGAGCACAGCATCGCTCCCGCCGTGGGTTCGGATCCTATATAGTAGTGGCCGGTGCACTCACTGGCTGAGTGCAGTGTGGGCGACAGCAAGCCAAGGGTTGCGATACCCTTACCGGTCACGAAAAAGACAAAAACAAAAAAAAAAAAATAGGAAGTATAGTATAATAAAGATCTATTTGCTACAAAGTGAGCATTTTCAAAGTAGATACATAAGTGAAAATATAGCCCCTAAATAAAAGAAATATGGCTTTGGAAAAAATTCTTATTTGGGGTTAAATGCTCTGAGGTGTAAAGTCAGAAAAAAAATGGGATCACATTTTTAGAGTAAAGTTATATTCTTTATCTAAAAAAGTTTACACTTTGTCTGCTTACACTGTTATCAGCCTTTTTCCAACCTACTCTGTGGAAGTAATATTCATTTCTAAATTCCTGGGTGTGTACACCACGAGTAAACACAGTCTGAGTACCTTCATTTGTAAATGCAACTCTTAATCGTTATCGCTACCTTGGAATGGCTCAGTAAGAGAAGTCTTACATTTGAAATCTAACTAGGTCCAGGGTAATCCTAACTGAAGGCAAAGGAGTGGACCAGGAGATAAGGAGATGTTTTATCCAACCCTAATGCAAGGGGTCTTCAAAAAGTTCATGAAAAGATTTGCATTATCTTTTAATTCCATTTTCTACAAACTTTTTGAAGTACCCTTGTATTTCTAAAATTCTACTTAAATATAAACTTAATTTCATAAGTCAATAGTATGGTCCTTTACTATTAAATGGAAAGTGAAGCCAGGGAGATGCCAACCTAAGTTATATTGTCATCATAATTCTGCAGAAGTAGAGTCCATGACTAGAGTGTGAAATTTAGGAAGGGACCTGACCATCATAGTATTTTGACCAATTACCCAATTTGGACTAATGAAGTATTAGAGGGAGGCAATGTAGTAGAATGTTTAAGAGGCTGTACTCACACAGTACTATCTATGTTCAAATCGTGGTTTCTCCATTTACTAGCTGTTCAACTTAATGGACTCCAGTTTCTCTTCTGTGAAATGAGGATAATAATAGTACCTACATCACAGTATTGTTGTGAGGATTAAATCAGTTAGTATATACCTGTAAAGTACTTAGAATAGCATCTGACATATAGTAAATCTTATATAAGTTAATTATTACTTATGTACATCTATATATTGAGTTGAATCACCTTTTGGGATTCTGATATTCGTCCACCATCCTTCATGTTTCTCAGGAGTGAATTGGTTTAAGGATGGAAAAGTGGGAAGGCCAAAGATTGATTAAGAGAAAACTCAGATTGATTAGGTAAATCTAGCATTCTGCCATTGTAAATGAACCTTGAAGACCATTCCTGTGGTAAGTCATAACAATAATAAAAAAGTGATTTGTGAAAATTTTAAATAACACAAAATTCTATTTCATACTAATTAATTTCACAAAAGTTTAAGTATATAGTAGGTAGAATCTTGAATCAACTTCATTTTCAGCATGTTTATAAATATTATTGCACTATTTAAAATTACATACCTGAATGTGACTATTTGCAGATGACATCCAGATTCGATTTTACGAAGAGGAGGAAAATGGTGGAGTCTGGGAAGGATTTGGAGATTTTTCCCCCACAGACGTTCATAGACAAGTAAGTGGATGATGATGATGATGATGATGACAATTATCAACACTTTACATTTTCTGCTTTGTTGAATTGAGTACTTAGTTTCCATATGTAAAAAAGGAAAAATTATAAATATTTATTTAACTGCCATAAAACAGTACTATTTTTAAGACTCTTGCAGGTCATCCAGAAAAGTTACGTACCATAGAACTACAGGCAAGGTTCTATTAGACCATTGCCTCTGACTTTGGCAAGACATTTCATTTGGTGTCTGATCCCCTAGTCCATCAGGCAGTGTCCCTCAGGTCCTTTAGTGAAAATGTTTTGTGTTCTACCAAAGTAATTATGATGAAACCTGTTAAAAGGGTATTCTAATGAAAAGTGTTGGAAGGAGAAGTCTTCTAGTTGAGGCTGATGTCATCCTGATAAATCAAGATTTCCCAGTGACCACTGATTATATGACTAAGAAATGAAAATGCTGAACCTCCACCTTAGTGATTACTCACCTTTTTGCAAATGACTGGGGGATGCTGTTTTCACAAAGAAGTGGAAACAATCCAAATGTTCATCTATAAGTGACCAGTTAAATAAATTATGGTGTATCTGTGTGGTGGAATATCATGTAGTTATGAAAAAGAATGAGTACTCTGTAAACTAATATAGAAAGCTCTTAAAGACACATGTTAACATTTTTAAAAAGATAGGTATAGAGCAAAATGTATGTAAAAATAATTCTATGTTCATATTTGCATATGCATGAAGAAACTCTGGGAGGGAACATAAGAAACTAAAAACAGTGTGTTCCTCCAGAGGGCTGTCACACTGGAGGAATTGCACAGATGGGGACAGGGTTGGCAAGATTATCAGTGTTTACCATTGCATACTTTTTTATATTTTACAAAATCTCCATCCATGTGAATATATTACATAGTCAAAACATCAAACTAAAAGATGTTAAAATGCCTAACTGTTCTAGCACTATCAGGAATCAATGTATTATAATACCTCCCTGAGCACAGTTTAGTTTCCTCTCCTCATCAGCTGGCCTGTGAGCTGATGTTAGCACCACTTCCTTCTTGTCTTTCTTTCCTTAGTCATGCTTAGTCTTTCTGATGTTGCTATAAACAATCTTGGAGGATCTTAAGGCTGCTTTGGAAGAGAAGAAAGAAGCATATGCAGTTTTTGTATGTGCATAATATTTACACCTAAAAGACATTTGAAATATTAGACAAATGAAATAAAGATTTGCAATACATTGGCATAGTGTCGTATTTAAATTTCACACTGCGATTTAATAAAAATGTATGGGCCTAGAATTCTGAGTCTGGAACTATCTCCTGAGTGCTGTGTTTTTTAGTATACTGTGTCTAAACGTTGAATATGAAGAAAAGCATAAGGAGTGTGTTTAATAAGTAGCATTGCTACAAAAAAAATGTGGTCCTATACCAACATTCAGGTCTTTGTATCCTGCAGTTTGCCATTGTCTTCAAAACTCCAAAGTATAAAGATGTCAACATTACAAAACCAGCCTCCGTATTCGTCCAACTTCGGAGAAAATCTGATTTGGAAACTAGTGAACCAAAACCTTTTCTCTACTACCCTGAAATCAAAGGTAACTCAGTTGTTTAAACTCTTGTGCCTATTCTGATAAGAAGATGAGCGGATTAGAAAAGATCAGTTCGTCACCTCCTTTGAACAACTTCCTAGTATCTGGTGCCTGGATCTATGGTACTTATTTTTAGAAAAGAGACAGGTAATACACTATTTTGAGGTCATGGAATTAATCCGGCTTTTTAAGACAATGTTATTTCCACCAAGTTTATATGTGATTTAGACATTTGGGAATTTGTCTTTGAATTTGAGCTTCTAACGTTTATTGAGTAACTCAGGGTTCAGGCAGTTGGGATGAAAAAATGTCTTGCTGTTTAGGGGGATCAGCCACTCAGTCTACCAACCTTGGGCAGTTGAATAGAAAACAGCCTCCATGCAGTGCAGAACTGCAAAAATGAATAAGGCACCGTTCTTTCCCTCACAAAAGACACTTCAAGAAAGATAGATAATAGTCTCCTTAAATAGTTATAATACAATTTAGGATTTTAATAAGTACCCAAAGTGAAGCATCCACAGACATCTAGGAGAATGTTGATGAGACAGCCCTTGATCCTTGATTCTAAAGAAGCCTCCAAAAAGCAGGCTTCTTGAAGGAGATATAATTTGGTCCTTCTAATTGGGGATATGTTTTATCAGTTAGACATTAAACAGAGAAGGAAGGGGTTTCCCAGGCTTAGGACACTTGAAAAACTCAGGGGCAGAGGTAAGCTCAGTTAGTGTTTATTCAAAGAAGGGAGCCCGTGAGCACTAGAATGGCCTGATGAAGGCCAGGGTGGGCCAGGAAGGCCAGGTCCAGGCTGAGGAGGGCTGTGAGTGGCTGCTAAAGAATTCTGCATTGATTCTGGAGAGGGATGGCCAGGCCTGCCAGGATTTGGAATGATGGCTCTGACTTCGTTATGTGAATACTAGAAGGCAGATAATGAGTCAGAGGAGTAACATAAGAATCCAAGTGAGAAATGGTAAGGTTGGTTAAGTGTGTTAAGAATGAAAGAAGGAGGTGGTGATGTGTGAAGAGAACCTGGGTGCTGGATGAGGTAGCAGGTGTAGGAGACTCAGGAGTCGTAGATGGTTCTAGGATTCCCAGACTAGGAAGCTTGCCACATGGCTGACTTGATGAAAGGAACAAGGGAGCAAAAGTGGTTTGGGGTGGGAAAAGAGGGAGCTCAGTTTAAAATATGTTGCATTTTAGGTTCCTGTGGGAAATTCAAGTGCAAATTCTTAGTAAGCCGATCAAAAGGCAGGACTGGAACTCGAGAGGGCAGGGTGGGAAATTCAGCATTGAGAACTATCTCAGAACAAGTTATAATAAGTACCCAAACTGGACAGTTAATCAAAGGTATTTCTTTTTTTTTTTTTTGAGACCGGCCGCACCGCGCTCAGCCAGTGAGCACAGCAGTTATCCCTATTAGGATCCGAACCCGCGGCGGGAGCGCTACTGCGCTCCCAGCGCTGCACTCTGCCAAGTGCGCCATGGGCTCGGCCCAAAGGTATTTCTTAACCTAGAGACCACTGACCCCCAAGTAGTCCATGGAGAAAAATGTGCTTTAATATAATTAGCATCTTTTGAAATCCTATTTTGTATTTGACATATTAAAAACCATGATTCTGAGAAGAGATACACAGCCTTCTCAAGATTGCATGAGGGGCCATGGCACAAACAAAATGAGAAACCCCTCGAGTAGGGAAGTGAGACTGGAGGAGGGGGGAGGTCAGTGAAATGGCAGTCCTGGGGCACCCAGGTCCTGGCTAAGGGTGGAAACCACAAAGGTTTGGCAGCAACAAGCCGCTCGGGGTTGGGTCCTGTAAGAGCAACATGTAATGGGTGGCCTTTGAAGAGGGCTTCCTTTCCTAGAATTCATGTTGCAGCAGGAGCATTTAGAAAATGGCTCTATGAGTTCTCATTTCTTTTTTTTTTTTTTTTTTTTTTTG